TTCACTGAGGGAACCGTGAACGCCAACATGTACTGTGACACACTGAGGCAGAGCAGGATCCCCTCCCTTCAGAGACCGGGCCGCAGGGCAGCGTTCCAACATGATAACGACCACAAACACACCTCCAAGACGACCTCTGCCTCGCTAAAGAAGCTGAGGGTAAAGGTGACGGACTGGCCGAGCACGACTCTAGACCTGAACACTACTGAGCATCTGTGGGGCTCCTCAAACAGAAGGTGGAGGAGAGCAAGGTCTCTAACATCCACCAGCTCCGTGATGTCGTCATGGAGGAGTGGAAGAGGACTCCAGAGGCGACCTGTGAAGCTCTGCTGAACTCCAGGCCCAAGAGCGCTGGGAAATGGAGGGGCCACAAAAAAGTAGTTAAAATAAGCTCCAAAGTACATTTTGTTGGTAAAACCTGTGTACTAGGATTTAAAATGCATGATAAAATGCATTGATATTTTTACTTAGGTGAAAGGATCTGAATACTTCTTCCACCTCTGCTAGGGACTTACTGAGAACCGGAACCTGAATCTAAATTAGTTCTTGTTGTTTTGATGAAGGTTAAGTTTCTCATTTCTTAAAGACGTTACTGAAAAAGTCTCTGCAGGCAAATGTATTAACTTTTATGAACCAGTGCAGGAGTTTTAACACGCAGATGTTAAAACTTAAAATTTAATATTCAAGTTCATTCTCATGATAATAGACCATGTTGATCATCTTCATGGTCAGTATTATCTCAGATATCTCGCCAAATGACACATCATCACCATCTCTTGGAAATTTAAAAAAGAAATTTACATCATATTAAATTAAAAATTAAAATAATTTTAACAGAAAGGTTTTAATAACCACTGTTTCTCTGCTGCGGCAGTAAAACCTGCCTGTTATCACCACATTAAGCCTTTATTGCTCTCACCTTACTGCTCTGTGTTCAGACAGACTCAGAGTGTCAGTATGTAACCTTTTGTCTGTTTGTGTATTTGTTTACACAGCTGTGTGTGTGTGTGTGTTTACCTCAAGGCTATAAACCAGTCCTCCTCCTGTCTCCATTAAACTTAATTGTAGTAATTGTCTGGTTGTTGTCACACACAATCCCCTCCGGAGGAGTGGAGGGTTGCTGTAATGAAATGTCAATACACTGATTTGTTTTTAGCAGAAATCTGGTATGTTTCAGTGCACTTTCAAAGACTACTGATAACTTACAGATGAGGTGATTGATTTATTATTCTAAAAACTTGGCGTTGAAGTGTGTTGATATTTGACAATACTACCTTTAATTATAGACTGACAACATGTCTTAAAATCAGCCTATCCTGCCAAATTTACCTGACTTCCAGTCTGTTGATCTTCCTTAATCACATAGCACCCTCATGTGGAAAAACTGCTAAATCACAGGATATAAAAACACTCGTCTCACGGTCCATTTAGTTGTTCTGGAGCTCTCGATCTCACCTTGGACCTTGTAGTGAGACCGATTTGTTTGCTGCTTTTCCAAAAGGTAATGATTTAGCTTTTAATCTTAACCTTTAAGCCAATATGGTTGAGAAGAAGTCCTAAACTGGGAGCACTTCATGTGCTGGTGAAGACCGTGTGATATGATTCAAAGCTCCTCAATAGCTGCTAGACTAAATGAGACGCTTCCCGCTTTAAGGCAAGTTATTGATCTTCTCATATATTCTCATGAACCCCTTCTCCATGTGAAGACGCATATCTGTTAGGAAGAACATAAATCAGTTGTTAAAGCTCCTGTTCTTATTCATTATTAGGGAAGAAGCAAATCAAAAGGTCACACTTCATTTAAACTTTTACAAAAGTTCAAATTGCAAGATCTATATGAGAAGAAAAACAAGGCTTTCAGACCTACTAGCTGTTGAGCTTCAATCAAAAATTAGATTTGACAGTACAATAAAACAAATTTAACATTACATTAAAATATATATTTAATTGTATTTATGTCTTTTCAAAGTCAAATTATTTATCTGATGTCTGTCTTCAGTGATATCTTGTGGTGTTCTTTATTCAAACTATATCCATCTATATATACTGTATATATATATATATATATATATGCTTCTACTGTATACTATATACAGAGTAAAGATCTTGTACTTCTACATCTCAGAGGAAATTACTGTACTTTTTCCTTTTCTGGTTAGTTTATGATCCCCTTCCTGTCCAATGAAAACCCCGTATCTCCAGGTGTTGGCTTTAAACTGCAGGATGAAGAGTTCCTTTAAGTTCTGAGAAAATCTTCCTCCTCCTTCAGCTGAATAAACTCTTTGAACCTCCTTGGATCAGCTGAAAAATGCATCGTCACAAAGCTGAAAACAGGCTGTTTTTCTGACTGTTTAGAGACACGAGGTTCTCACAGGACAAAGACACCACAAACACATGATGATCTTATAGACCATGATGCATTGCTGCAGATTAAACTACCCAACAGGATATAAATGAGTTAAAACATCCTCATTAATGCAGCAGGAATATTAATCCAGAAACAGCAGATATAAAAGAGAAACATGTTACTGCAACATGAGTACTTTTGCTGTGGTACTTAAAAACATTTTGGGGATAATACTTACATTACATAAAATAAAGTATAAAAGTAGGACCTGAATACTTCTTCCACCACTGCCAATAGTTAAATTTGCCAAAAAGCTGATGATACAGGACTTCCTGATTCACTTGTGTGTTGTAGTGCAGTTACCCGGTAATCATCTTCTTTGAGAAGCGACGAGGACAAACAGAAGAAAACCCGTCACATGAATGAAAACTTCACAGGATCTTCTGTTAACTTTTTAATCCTGGAAAAACAAAACTACAAACACACACACACACAAATAAACAAACCAGGACTCCTCCTTCAGTTTCATTACCAGAATATTTATTTTATTCTTTTTCCTATTAAAACACTAGCTGCCATATTTAATAAAACAGCCAACGGCCAAGTGCCTCAGTCCTCATCCTCCAATCAAATCTTCTCAAACAGGTCACATGGGTCTGCGGGCGTGTCCTTGGCTTTGCTGCTGCAGTGTGAACGAGCTGGGCCCCGTGGTCGTTGCAACCGATGTCGCCGCTTGTCACGTCGCGCCCCGCTTTGTTGCTGCTAAAAGGTGGTCGTGTCGGGCGGAGTCGGGCGTGGTCCCCTGTAAACCGTCTCCGTTACCACAGAAAGTCTAGTATTGCATCGTTTACTGGCGGCCAGCAGAGGGAGGGTCTCCTCGTTTAAGACAAGTTTCTCTTTTTTGTTTTCCCCATTTTCTTAAAAATACTGCCTTGTTTGTACGTATATGTATTTAAATATATATATACATAACTGTACATTGGTGCCTCCTGGAGGAAATTTAAAAATAACGTAATGAAAAGAAAATAATTTTTGCTTTTTGCTGGAGTGGCAATGACCTTGAGAGGAAAGGTTACACATTTTTAGAAATACGCTGATTCCCATTCCTGCTGAGAGTTAGATGACGATGAATATGAAGCTAATACAAGCTAAGTAAGCTTAGCATAAAGGCTGAAAACAAGGGGAAACAGTTAGCTTGGCTCCATCCAAAAGTAACAAAATCCACCTACCAGCACCTTTTAGGCTAATTAACAAGTTGCTGTTTATGTCATTTGTTTGTACAAAAAAAGTGTACAAATGACCAGTCGTCTTCATGCTAAACTAAGCTAACGGTCTCCTGGCTTCACATTTAGCGTAAAGACTCTCAGCAAGAAAGCGAATAAGTGTAATTCTCAAAATCTTTTTCCCTTCATGATCCAAAGAGAGGTCACTCCATCAGTCTGATTGGTTTGACTGTTGCCGGGCAGAAAATAAGACTAAATGCCGGAGGAAGGAGAAGAATTTATGAAAAAGAAAAAAGTAATTAAATATTTGGGAGTAAGTGTGGGAACGGGGAGAGACTAGCAGAGAGACAGAGCTGTAATGTTGGAAACACAAAACAAATATGAAAAATAATATGGGGATAACTGAGGAAGAGCTGTGTCGATGTGGAAGAGTCTGTTATTTTAATCCATCAAATTATCTTCTGTGGCTATCATGTTAATGCTTTGTTGTGCCGTTTAATTTAGTTTTTGGTGTTTTTATTCTTCATTAGTCGTCATTAAATCCCATGTTCAGACTCAAACTAACAGTGAACATATCTCCTAACGAGTCCTGTGTGTCTCACAGTGCGATGTCTCTCTCTCTCAAAGAGCTCCATTACTGCCCAAAAAATATTAAAATTCACCAGTGAGCCTCACTGCCTGACATGTTCCTTCATCACCATGAACTCAGTCCCACGCAATAACGCCCTGAAGGGTCCCAAATTCTTCAGTCCTTGTGGTCTTATTTTCTTAAAGCAACATTATGTTGCAATTTTATCTTTAAAAAACAGATTTAAAATATTTTTATGGTACACAGACTTTTTATAATGCAATTTTCTTAAACCAAATGATAAATTAAGTGATTAATGAATAATAAACATCATTTGTTGCAATGATTAGATAAGATGGGATAATTTTTTAACGGTGATGACAAAAGAAAAACACAAGATTATGTAGATTTTTGTCTTGGTAACAGATGATACTTTCAACTCTTCCTCTAAAAAAACTGCTCACAGCTTCGTCCACACTGAGGCCAAAACCTGCGAGGAGGGGCGGTGTGTGGGTGCCGCTTTATTTTAAGAGGTCATAAAGCCAAAAGGGCTAATTTCCTCCTGTTTGTTTGCTAAAAACTACAGAAAAAGTGTTGAGAGATCTGCACATGGGATTTACTGACTGTAAGAAACATAACAGAAAATAGCCAGATATTTCCTTTAAGAGGAAGTGAACTGCCTGGTGGGAAGACAATAAAAATGAATTTAAATGGCAAACACATCCCACTCTGGGTCACTTTTCTGAGCCATTATGTGTTTCTGTCCAGCTGCTAAACTTCACCTCATTCATTTTTAAAAATCTGCTTACATCCCTCTGCTGCTTCAGGTGTCGCCACATAACATCAACAAACCAAAAGAAGATATTTTTTCCTCTTTTATTATGAAATAGTGCTACAATTTACATTGCATTTCCTCTCCTGACTCCCCACTGTCTGATGCTGATGTGTGTTGTTTATGCGTGTTCAGATTTGTAATGCTGGGAAAACCTGGTAAAAACAAAGATAAATGATAAATACTCTCAGTTCCTGCCAAACGGTCAGAGAGGTGTGACACAGTATGTGAAATAATTATCCATCCTGTTAAAATCTGGTTCTTCTTAAAAGCTTCTCTAGACAAAAATAGTCAATTCTTAGGACTGAATAGAAACACGAATCACTCGATCAGATGGGCAGTTATTTACAGTGCTTGTGTCGTGTGTATGTGTTGTGACTGTGCTGTCTGTTGACATTAAGTCTGTGCTCCACATAACAGACCAACCAAACCAAACGCATGGAGGAGGGGGTGGGAAATAAAAAAGAAAAAAAAGAAAAGAAAATGAGGTAAAGAAAAAAAATCTTAAAAGTTAAAATCTTAAAAGTCTGTTCAGAAAAGTGTTTTGGAGAACAGGAAGCAGGACGTCCTCTCCCCGTCCCGTTTACTTATTGGCCAGATTCACTTTGAATGTGTGGAGGTGGAAAAACCTAGAGGGGGTGATGACTGATGAGCCAGGAGGGCCAATGGCAGGCAGGCAGGAGGAGGTAGAGCCAATCAGACGGCCTGCTGGGCAGGATTGTAGTTGAATGCGGAGGGAACGTGAGGTCGCTCTTCTAGTTTGTCATATTCCAGATGAAACTCCTAAAAAACAAAGAGACAGAGTCAGATTTACTTTTGCGTGAGGGCACATTTTAGATTGGGCTCATTATATTCTGTGTAAAAAAGTGTTCACAATACAGCTTTATATAACGGTTATCTTAAATGGTCAAAATGCTCATGTATAGTTCTAACAACAGTTCACCAATAGAATAACAATAAAACTGAAGCTGTTTAAGCTGCGTGGCGCCACTTAGTCGATCAAAAGAAATTTAATTAGGGCTGAAACAATTCATCGTAAATCATAATTACTAGATGAGATGAAGGCACAATTCTTAGCTGTAAATGTAGAAACATGCATTTGTTGTTATTGTTCTGACTGGTTAGTCCGTGAGTTTGGATTTTAATGTTACAGATATGAGTTACACAGCTGCTCCCGGTACTGTGGGCGCCAAGCTAAAGTATTACTTGATGAATCGATGAAACAATTGGTAAAATACTCAAATACTAAAATAATCGATAGCTGCAACCCTAACTTTAATGAGCAACTATTTCAATAAATTATTGTTTAATTAATTTCTTTTGTAAAAATGCCAAAATGTGCAACTACAATCTCATAATAATTTAAAATGAATTATGTTTTTTATTGGCCAGAATAGCTTTTAATGAAAATGATTACCTAAACCATCTTATATTAAATGTTTTACCAAATTCTCTCTCTCTCTCTAAGTATTTGAACACCCTGCTATTTTGCAAGTTCTCCCACTTAGAAATCATGGAGGGGTCTGAAATTGTCATCGTAGGTGCATGTCCACTGTGAGAGACATAATCTAAAAAAAAAAATCCAGAAATCACAATGTATGATTTTTTAAAAAACTATTTATTTGTATGATACAGCTGCAAATAAGTATTTGAACACCTGTCTATCAGCTAGAATTCTGACTCAAAGACCTGTTAGTCTGCCTTCAAATTGTCCACCTCCACAAGGCTGGAAAGGGCTACGGGGAAATTGCCAAGCAGCTTGGTGAAAAAAGGTCCACTGTTGGAGCAATCATTAGAAAATGGAAGAAGCTAAACATGACTGTCAGTCTCCCTCGGACTGGGGCTCCATGCAAGATCTCACCTCGTGGGGTCTCAATGATCCTAAGAAAGAAACCCAATAGAGAATCTTTGGAGGGAGCTCAAACTCTGTGTTTCTCAGCGACAGCCCAGAAACCTGACTGATCTAGAGAAGATCTGTGTGGAGGAGTGGGCCAAAATCCCTCCTGCAGTGCAAACCTGGTGAAAAACTACAGGAAACGTTTGAACTCTGTAATTGCAAACAAAGGCTACTGTACCAAATATTAACACTGATTTTCTCAGGTGTTCAAATACTTATTTGCAGCTGTATCATACAAATAAATAGTTGAAAAATCATACATTGTGATTTCTGGATTTTTTTTTTTTAGATTATGTCTCTCACAGTGGACATGCACCTACGATGACAATTTCAGACCCCTCTATGATTTCTAAGTGGGAGAACTTGCAAAATAGCAGGCTGTTCAAATACTTATTTTCCTCACTATATATATATATATATATATATATCTCTATCTAGATAGATATATAGATAGAGAGAGAGAGAGATCTGCAAGGATTAGTCGATTAATCTGCAAGTATTTTGATCATTGATTAATTGTTTGAATCATTGTTTTAAGAAAATTACTGCTAAAATTGCTTTTTCTTGTCTTAACTGATAGTAAAACTCAACATCTTTGGTTTTTGGACTGTTGGTCACCAAAATGACACATCTGAAAAAGTGACCTTGGGCTCTAGAAAATAGGGCTGACAGACATCACGACGTTGAGCCGGCATCGTGATTGTAAAACCCCCGCCCCCAGCAAAAAAAATCTGAAATGTTCATATTATACCACCCTGTGAAAGCACGTTTTAATGACCACAGACATTATTGTTATTGTTTTTAAGTATGTTTTGCACCTGCCTGGGAATTCTCTTCTCCCCACACTCTGACACACATACACCTCTGAGGTACTGAGGTACTAAGACTGAGAACTCGTCTTTTTTCCGTATATTTCCACCAGCGATACGTTATCAGAGCAGGTGAGCCGCACGTCGGCTTGTTAATGACGCAGCCTATCAAACAACTGAAACCAACATCTGCACCCTGTGTGCTCACTGCTGTTTTACCTGGTCTGTGCGTAAAATATCCACCGACACTTGTAATGTAAGTTAATAGTCTACCATTTTTTTTTAACCGAGTCAATTCTGTGCAAAAACACACGCACATAAAACGACTGCTGCCTACACCAGAAAATATTTAAGAAACTGAATTTTGAAAAATCTTTAAACTTCAAACTGATCGATTAGCAATATCTATAGTGATTCATTTGAACAGGTATAAAGTGTGTGTGTGTGTGTGTGTTTACCTTGGCCACCTTCCTCCAGTTGAGGCAGTCGAAGAAGTAGTAGGTCCCTCTCTCGTAGGCGTTGGTCTTCAGCGTGGGCTCCATACCCGGGGCCCGGGTGATCCAAACCCGCTCCTCTTTATGGTACCTCCAGTCCCTGTTAAACCTGGACACACACACACAGACACACAGACACACACACACACAGAATAACAGTTCACTTCTGACTACTCTAACATTATAACTAATTAAAACTCCCAGAGGCAGGACTGTTTTAAATGACTTACTGGGACACTTGAATTGAACAGAGCGATCAATAGTGTTATTAGTTACAACTGTGCTTTTCCTGCTACAACAAGTCAACATGTCCTGCTGGGAAAAATACTAACTAAAGGCATCTAGCTGTTTTGCTTTTTTAGATTGACTTTTTATTAAATTGTAAAAAAAACATGTTTGGGAAAAAAACATTTTATTTTCTTTATAGATGTACGTGCCATTTTACATTTGAGAATTCAAAAGACGAACTTTTAGGAAAAAACACACATCTTGATATGGGACATCGTGTCATGAGATGAAAATTAGAAACACAACTAAGAGTAACATCATCAGACTACAATTTGACTGTTAACCATAATGCAATTAAAACATTCAGTTTTAGTTATTACAGGATAACTACAACCTCAAATTTTAACCTCATTACAGATCCGCTCTAAGAAGTGTGATTGTATAGAAGTCTATGAGAAAATGAGGCTACTTCTTCTCTAATGCTCCCATTTAGAGGAAAAGTTGAAAAAGCTTATTAGAAGTCAGATTTTTTGAGTAAGTACTTGGACTGTCCCCAACTACGGATTTACGTAGTCAAATCAGAATTGTCAAGTCCTGCTTATAGTCGAATCATGTGTGTTTTTGTGCGCGGCGATTGCGAGCCGAAGCTAAACTGAGGCTTGTTGTTGACCATTTTTCTCTCTCTCTCGCCTGCCATTCACCGGCCTTGTGCAGAGTTTTTGCGTGCATGCACGTCGCGGTTCCTCGCGGGTCTATTTCAAGTAGCCGGCTGTTTAAAAACGATAAAATATTCTTTGTGTGGTTCATCAACGGTAATACATTATCCGAAAATCCCGCGAGGTGCCGACAACTCGGCACAACACCAGTGAAGCTGGAGCTCGGTCTCTTCATCAAGTGTTCCTCTTCTGCCCAAGGCTACGCCGTAGACGCTAACGCCTACACGCTGCGCTACAATTTTGGATTTATTCACGCACTTTAAAAACATTTATTGGAAGTTTTTTTTTCTTTTTACACGTTTATTTACAGCATTAAACGTTGAAATGTATATTGTAATAGACTGTATGTTAACTTATTGGGAGAAAACTGGTGGTTCTATGTAAAATCGGACATTGAGCACCACCATATGACCAAACTGGCGTGATCCTTGTTTCACTGCAAAGCTTCAACTGTGAGATTGACAGTCGAATCAGGCTCCGCCCATCGAGGCATCGACGGGTCAGCCCTAGTAAGTACATTTTGTATTTAACTAAACAAAACTTTAAAATCCAAGCAGACACATACCAGCTTTTTTTTTTTTTTTTACAGTACATCCAAAACTCATCTGAATTAACATATGCCAACAAAATTAGTGTGTAGCTCCTCTTTAAACGCCTTCCTTTAAGGAAGTTTGCATGTTAGTCGAGTGTGTGTGTTCTCACAGTTCTACTGCAGCCAGTAGTTGTAGCAGGTCTCCTCCATTCATGTAGTAGAGATAAAACAGCAGATCTTCACCATACCGAGACAACTTGATAGCTGCTAACTGAAGACATTTAAGGAGGAAGGAAACAAATCTACAATTAAAGATTCATTTAATTTAAGTCAAGACACCTGATTAAAACATTTTCCTGGGACAAATCATAGATTTTTTTACCACTACAATGAAAGAAAAAGGATCCCTCTGGTGTACATACCTTGTCCCTTATGTGGATGTTGGTTAAATACTCTGAGGGGACGTGGAAGTCTGCAGGAAAAGGAGGCAAAAAGAGCTGAAAACACTGTAAAACCTGTGTGTACTACTTCTTCCACCAAAAAATGTATCAGCCAGGGACTGGTAGATTAAAACTTGGAGAATAGGGCTCGACGATTCGGCCAAAAATGTTATGATAAAAAGTTTCATCTTTCGATATCGATAACTATCACGATGAGTATTCAAATCGTTGTTTCTTTTGAGTTTAAAAGCTGATTTCTCCTCATGGGAGAAAGTAGCAGAAACCTCATGGTTAATTGCGCTTTAAACCAAGGTGGATCACCTCACAAATCAGAGGTTGAACATTCAAAACAATTAGGATAAAATCTTTGTCAACAAATACGCACGAGTAAAATTAAGTAAAGGCTTTTTTCAGTCCTTTTTCTAAAACAAAATAAACATCTTAATAAAAGAAAAAGTCCTAATTCGTGTATGATTCAAGTGAATATAGTCAAATATTTAATGAACCTTTGTTACATTGTTATTGAAAAACATTATATTGCAATAATTATTGTTATTGTTTTATTGTCTGGGCATATTGGAGAAGTCTTTTTGTGAACAAGCGTAAAAGTAATGCTAGACATTCAGTGCAGAGAAGTTTCATCTGTTCAGTGACACTCAGAGCAACATGATTGTCACATTGCAGTTGTGCTGCAAGTCCAATATTCCTTCCATAAATACTGTGGTCTGAGGCCCGAGAGGGTCCGGTAAAGTAAATGACATGAGTCCATTTATTTTTAATGGACCCATGTAATATGTTTTATACTTTCTGTGAATATAATCCAATTAATCTTATTTCCATCCTGTACAGGCGCCTTATTTTGAAAACCGGACGTTGTCACATGTGTTTCCTCCTCGCGCTAAATTCATCCAGTCCGACCCAGTTTGATAAATAATGTTGTATGTGGTTCTCGTACGGCGTAACATGAAGACTTCACAGCCTCTCTTCAGGTAGGACTCTCATACTGCAACACTTGTCTTTGTAAAGAGACAAACTAACAGGGACGTTACAGTTACCGTAAACACTTGAGTACGTGTGCACTCCAAATTTAGGTGCGGCTAGCTTAATCGCCTTCTCGTCTTGTGAGTGACAGAAACACTCAAAGTGTTTTTTTCCTAAGAAGTCAGCCACAGATGGAGTGGATGTCCTAGGAGATAATTCAGCAGAACAGAGTCTTCAAACAGCCATTTTTGCGTCTTTCTTGGACACTTTAAAATGCCTCCTCACTGGCGACACGCCAGTGTAATTGTCTAGTAAATTTTCTTCGTCCTTTCTTAGGCCGAACACCGAAAGTGCTTTTTCTTGGCGATTTTCGGCAGATTAATTTCGGTGGCCGAACATTCGGCGCATCCCTAACACATTAGGTGTCAACAATCTAAACTCACCTATGTCCTGCGGTCGGCACGGAGCCGACGCCCAGGGAGACGCAAACTTAGGGTAGAGATTCCTGATGGAGAGAGAGAGAGAGACATAGAGAGACAAGATGTTTTATAGAAGTTCAAACCACGAGAATTGTGTCATGATGTGAACATCTGAGACACTATCAGATCAAACTGAATTATGCTGCGCTCTAGGCCAGAGGCTGGTGTTTCTGAATGTTTTAGTGTACTTCAAGAAAGTAAATACAAAATAAAAGTACCAACACACTGTTCTCTGGGTTTGTTTGTGCAGCTAATTGTTACCCAGCACCTGTGAAAGATCCGGGTTCGATTCCCGCTGTGACACGTCCTTCAATGTTTCCCTGAGCGAGACACTTAACCCCTCGTTGCTCCAGAGGCGTGCGACCTCTCACATGAATAGCAAATATAAGTCCCTTTGGATAAAAGCGTCAGCTAAATGTATAATTGGAATGTAATATTCCAGGCATCTTTAAGTTTCACTTGGATCCGCCATTAACATGCGGGGTCAGGTCCATATTCATGTCTCAGGAGACAACTGTCAGAAACAGGGAGGCAGGTACAGGTTTATAAAACAGGGCCTGTGCAGGACTCCGTCCTACACTCCAAAGATGCTGATGTTCTGCTGATCCTAGGTCTGTAGTGGCTCTGTTATCACCACGTGACTGTAAAATAGGGCTGGACGATTAATTGAAAAGTAATCGAAACTGAAATTTCGGACTTCTAACCGACGTCATTTTACCATGTTGGTTATTTAATCCAAGATTCGTCTCGGTAAGCTAGCTGGCGAGCTAGCTTCACGTTATGAGCTGTTTTCTATACAGTTTCCTTTGGTCAATTTGATTGATTGTTAATGGCGCTGAGAGTAGCACATAATTATGATACACAACGGCCGCATTCACATTCCAGTTGTGACCTGACTTTACAATCATGAACGACGCATCGCTCGCGGATCAGCTGCTCAGATCAGGACTTGATTTCAGTGGAACTTTCTGTTGCTGCAGAAGAAAGGTTCATTAAAAATGTATTTTTGAAAGCAGTATTTATTTTATTGTCGTGACTGTTAATTAGCACGTGCCTAAAACAACCTCAGGTTTGATTTAAAAGCTGGTAGCTAAATAAGACACGTGTAATTTTGCGATTCATAATCCGAATGGTCGATTATTCAATAATCGACAGATTCACCGACTATCAAAATAGTTGCAGCCCTAGTGACCTACAAGTAACATTTACTACCAGACCGACAACTTACTCGCTCGCATCACCGTCACTTTCCACCACTCGCTCTCTCACATTCGCTAAGCCACACACTCAGTACGCACACACATTGCACCGCCCTTAATATACCTAACTTCCTGCTCTGATTACAGCACCTGTCATGAAGATGTCCTGTGACGAATGAGGGGGGAAGCTTGCCAAGCGTTGAGTGTTACTGATACCATTCATTAGTTTCACATTGATATTAACAATCGTGTGAAATTTTAGAAGCAGCGCTTATTCATTCAGCAGCGGCAAATATAAGTGAGCACGTCTTTGTTACGTGCACAGACTGTCAGGCGTTGCCTTTTTCTCTGTCAAAATTACCAGTTAACATTTAGATGATACATTTTTGACATTTGTGTATCGAAAAAACTATCCCAACTTAAATAGCACATTTACAATACAAACCTCATCAGTGAACTACGAAAAAACCCCAAACAGATAAAATAAATAATCGTTAATTAATCGTAATCGAGGTAAAATGTTTGTCGTACTCAGGTGAGTTGAGGTTGAGGCCGAGCGTGGTGAGGTCGGAGCCCAGCGCCAGGTGGACCATGCCGGGGTCCGTCTCTGCTGCCCGGATGAACGTCAACAAGCCGATCATCCCAAACTGGTCAGTTACCATACCGACGGGGATGTTGGTCACACGCCCTGAGGTACAGAGAAAACACACAAAGACAGTTTAGACCGAAACTCTTATTTCTACGTGGCTGCATCGTGACCCGTCCTGTGTGCGTCTCACCGTCAGGAAGAACCTGAATCCCTTTCTTCTGCTGGTTGTTGTTGCTAGGTGCAGAGCTCTTATCGCCGGGGAACTTTGGACCATCTGAGTTAGAGTTAGACTTTCCTGATGAGTTCAGATTCTGGTTGGACAGAAACAGGAGAAAAAAAAAAGACGAGTCAAAGACAGGACGTAAAGAAAGTAAAAAATAAACATTACAGAGAAAGAAAGTCAAAGACGGGAGACCGATGAGAAAACCGGGCCTAAAGACTCGCTGTCCAGCTGGTGTGAGAAAAAATTACATCTGTTGTTTACTAAAGTAGATTTTTAAAGAGTTTCCAACAAATAAAAAACTCTTAAGTGACAAAACCTCCCAAATACTGTTTAGTCTTGATTTTCAATCATTTCCTCAAGTACAAGTACCTCTAAATTGTATAATAAAACATTATAATCATCATTAACATCACATGTTGTTTATTGTCCTTGGATACAGCAACGATTATTATTGGTCCTCGGGTCAGGGTGAGGTTGAAGTGTCATGTCAATGTAGAACAGATCTTCCGGTGGCTAAGCTACTAGCGACATCAGCCAACAAGGCAAGTTTATTTGTTCAGCACATTTCAACAACAAGGTAATTCAAAGTGATTTACATAAAACATAAAAGCAACAGGGAAATATAAAAAAGTTTTATAAGTTAAATAGAAAATAAAAACCGGCAGGTTTGCTTATTTTACTCCTTTGATTCCCCATCTCCCACTTTACCCCCCCTTTTTTTTTTTTTACACTTAGGGACTCTAACCTTTCTTCAGATAAATCGTCACTGTAAATCCAGATTGTCCACGCTACAAACTCTGGAAAAAGCGGTTGACAGCGGGACCCTGTCAACAAGTTACTTAGGGATTCTTACCCTAAAGGGACTTTAACCCTTTAACACTTAGGGCACAAACATTTTATAAAATGAAAATGATTAGCGGTGCTATTGCAGCGGAGAGCAGTAGATGGACTGAATGGCAAAATAAAGAAGAAGATAAGTAAAGTAAAAACAACAAAAAAGGGCTCTAACCGTTTTGCTGTCTTCGCTGGTGCTGGTGGGGTCTTTTGTTTGGTAGTTTGGCCCAGGGAGAGCTGGGAAATCTTCGTTATGGATGGAGAAGTCCTGCGACTGTTCACTGGACGGCTTGGTTACCATTCCAACTGGAAAATAAGCAGGGAGAGTAGTTAGCAATGGGACTGATGATTACAGCATAATAACATGATAAAAAATAAACCAACAGCTACACAACAAAAGAAATACTTAGCAACCATCAGAATTCATCAGGATCACTTTAACACCTTAAAGTCAGCAACTAACTGTTAGTTTCATTGTTGATTTATCTGCCAAGTATTTTCAGTATTAGCTGATTAATAATTTTGTTAATAAAATGTCAGAAAATGACAAACGACAGATAAAACCCAAAGCCACGAAACAATCAAGGCCTTAATCAGTTCTTAAAATTGTTAGCGGACAAATTTTTGTTTTGATTACTTGTTTCAGCTCTAGGCGTGTGCTCTGCATATGAAAATAAAATAATATTCTGGCTTGTAACTCAGAAATCCTCTTTATAGCCCTGAAAGTGCTCAGAATAAATGGTCATTTGAACTGAACTGATTTCCCTGGAAACTGGGCAAACTCCATCTGGCTGATGAGGATCAGGTGATTTGACTGAAAGCTCCAGAACAACAGAGTGGACTTTGAGGCGAGATTGTTGTCTTTCTTTATGAAAAGATTTGTGGATTTTGTGCTGATTTGGGATAGAAGAACACTGATTTTATTACCTGACATACGCAACTGCTTATGGTTTTTACCCCATTTATGCCACACGTGCTATGAGCTCTTACTAGTATGTATTGTCAGTTGCAGATCTCGTGCTGTATTTGTTGATTCTCGTATGTTGTTCCTCAAATGTAAGCTGCTTTGGATAAAAGTGTCTGCCAAATGAGTAAATATACATCTAAATGTAAATTTAATGCAGTATGTAATGGAAACAAAGAACATTTAAGTCTGTAGCTTCACACTCACACAGGTTTCTCTTACCGTAAGGAGCCCGACCGGCCAGCGGGTTGAGCAGTGGGGTAGGATTCGAGCTTCCGTCCCTCCGACTTCTGTCTGCTAACGCTGGGAAATCTGACAGGTCCAACCCCGTCACATTCTCACTGCCGTCTGCACGAACACACAGAGAAAAATTAATAAAAGCACAACCTATTTGGGCTTCTAACAGTGTTTTACAAAATGACATTTGAGTGAAAATAAACAGACCTGTGCCATTGAAGATGTTATTGGATAGGGAGTTGTTCATGTTGAAGCCGGGATTCCGGTTCACCCCGAACCCTGACATACTGACAGAGACACAAACAGACTGTGTATAACTCTGTGATCCTAAAAACTACAACTGAAACCAAAACAGACAGGGATCTGGAACAGGCGGCTGCACAGATGCACAAAATAAAACACTGTTTCACTTGTTTATTGCTTCATGCCACTGATAAAGGACTTTTAAGGCATAGAAAGAAGCTTTTCATTGCATTTAACCAATGTTTGTATTGAACCATTTTTAATAGGAGTGCCTGAATTGAAAGCAAAGCGCATAATGTATATTAAATTCCATGCATAGTTAAGTAAGTCGGCTGTTTCTTACAGTTGTTGTTAGTCTTAGGACACATTTCCGTAACCGTCGCAAAACTCATATTTTACCTTAAGTGCGTCGTTTAGCAGGAACCATTTATGAGTAGTGATCAAATCAATATTTTATAATCAAACAACCAGAAGCACAGAGACATGTCAGGTACATACAAACACCTGAATTGTATCTCAGATTTAACAAAATTAAACCAAGTTTGTCAAACAGCTTTTATCGATCTAACCACACTCCGGCGGCCGCACTGATGTAATATTTCATTTTTAGAAAACTAACGTGGAAGTGATTTAATATTGAAGTGATGACAGTGCAAGCAGTGATCATGCTTTCATTACATTAAACATGATGTCATGTTCAGGCATCATGTTGGCCTACACATGATATTACAGTGAGCCATTAGTCCATTAATTGATTAGCAAGACAGACAAGAACATTATTGTTTTGACAATCAATTCACTGTTTTTGTCTTTTTTTTAGGGTTTCCATAGCGTCCACTTAATTACGTATGAGACAAAAGAGTCAATACCAATTTAAAACATTGCTGATGGTCAATAGGGCCTACAGTTATTAAGTACACATTTATTTCACATTGTTATATTAAACCCTAATTCTTAGTGATATAATGCCTCAAGATAAGTGGCAGAAAGCTGATGGATGGATTAATCAATTGACACATTTTTGCTAAAACTTACATTTGCCCATAATGACTGGATTAGCAGCTCAGCTAATGTGGCAAGCAATAATAATAAATACTACTACTAGATTAGAACTCCACAAAAAAAATCTATTAAACGGCCTCCTGTGTGAACGATTTACCGTCGCACTAGTCTCCACTTGTAGCTTATAGATTATAAAACTTATATTACATATATTATTATAACGTCTCCTGGCGTCCCACAGCCACATACAGAATAACCCACAACTAATGTTATTTGCGCTGGCTAAAATACTCAAGACTTTAACCCAAACCCTTATTCTACGGCCTGTAGGAGTCGGTACGGGCTATGTTGTTCTTGAACACTCCTTTTTGGATGCTTAAAGCTGTTGGGTCGTGTGCCCACCCCTTGGCTGACCACTGTTCACCTTGTTTATTGCATTTTATGGATTTCATCATCATTTTTGTTTCGAGATCGTTGCCTACAGGCCTGTTTGTAACTATTCTTTATGCTTTTCATTAACTTTAAATTAAGTGTTATTATTCCAGCTCTTATGGCTGTGTTGTGTTGTTTATTTGTTTTGCTTGACTCTTTCTCATTTTCATTCTCTCTTTTTGTTGTTTTCTTTTTTCCGTTCTCTTGCAGGTTTTGTCCTTTCTCTGTGGTGTCTGTCTGTTTGGACTACTATCACTAATTTCTGACATTTTATCCAGCCAAAAATGGAATAATTGAGAAAATATTCTGCAGATGAATTGGTAATACAGTGAGTATAAAAGAGAAGAACAAGCTTTTACTCCCAAATAACTAAATTTCAAAAGTCAACAAAGGTTAGAAAAGCAGTGGATCCCAGACCAACAATGATTAAACCAAAACATTGAGCTAATCAGATTTAAGACAGAGTGTGTGTTACCTGTTAATAGTGAAAGGCTGGCGTGCTTGCTGCTGTTTGGGCATGCCGATGATGCTTGGTGACGACCGGCTGGGACTCCCCATGCTGCCGCTCCTCCCTGCTCCCACACCGCCAGCACCTCCCCTCTCTCCTCCTACGCCTACCATCCCCACCGACTGCCCCGTCGGACCCCCCACCTGCTGGTTGTGGTTCATCACGCTCCGGCTGCTCATTGGCAAAATACCCCTGCAGAGAGGAGGAGGGAGAGAGAGAGAGGAGGATGAGAGACAAGAGAGGGATTAAAGCAGGAGGAGGTATTGTGAGTTTCAAGCACAACCTGGAGTCTGTACGGAGGAAGAGGAACACGAGCAGCAGGATTAGACACTGAGGTCAGGTGGTACATGTCTGAGTGAGCGAACAAACACAAGGGGTCGATTTGGCAGAGGGGCGTTTACAGGAGATACGATCCAGGCAGCTCTGTATGAGTGATATATCGGAGTTTCATGACTTATCACATAGCAAAACACTGAACACACGTTAATGTGGCTAAGAGACAAGTTAATAACTTACATAAACAGTAAAAATCCACTTCAAAGTAATTTACCGGCATGACAACGATTACGGAGAAAGATGAAATGGGTTTCTATTGGAAGTCTAATGCAAGTCTTTGAGAATTATGTAAATAGCACAAAGTGTTTTAGAGTTAAAAAAAACAAACAAGTAGACAAAACCAGAGAAGGCTTGGTGTTACGGTAAAATAAAGATCACTTTGTAAAGTCTCACCATGTTTCATCAGCTGCGTGTAATTTACATAAACTTAACAGTACACAGAACACTTACACAGGACGTAGCCTGTAGTAAAATAAGATTCAGTCTGGGCGTCTTTACGTTGTTCATGTCCGCTGAGAGCCAAATACAAGGGAGAACGAGGGAGCGAGGCGTTCTCTCCACAGCTGTAAGCAGCTGCTGCCATTATTGTGTCACAGTCTAAGATGCAAAGAACACTGTCGTCCGCTCTAAACTTTGTGCGACCAGCAAAAGACTTTTATCGTCGAACAGCACTACATCTTATTTATTGAAGCAGCACAGCAACGTGAAACTTACAGAAAGAAACTCCGACCACTGCTGCCAGTGATGCTTGGACTCGTCGGGAGAGAGTGGCGTAAAGCAACGTAACGTTTTGTAAAAATACTGAATGCTGCTCCTATAAATACACGTGCAGAAAAACAGTAGTTCAAAAGTCGGGATTTACTTGCTAAATTTCTTTTACTTCAGCCGTTGGAGTTAAGAAACGTTCTGCTTTGTAAAAAACACACTCCTTGCTGCTGTTATGAATATGATATTAGTTAAAATGGCGGGAGAGACTGCTTTGTTTGAGGGCGAAGGGGGTGGAAGTGAAAGTAATATAGTAACGTAACTAGTTACTTTTAGTCCCTATTAATAATTAATAAGTAAAGTAATATTATTTTTAAGGAGTGATAAGTAACTAGTAACTTATTACAATGTCTAAGTAACAGTTACACAACAAACTGCAACTTTTACTGACTTGCAGAATTATTTTTTTAACTGACAAACATCATGTGTGTAATTCAGGGACCAATTCAAACAGGATTAAAACATTAGTCGTCTCTCGCCGTTGACTACCGAACATATTTTTTTCTGAAATAAGGTCCCATGGTGGTTGGTCCACAGGACGTGGAGGGACTTACGCTCTCTATAAAGTCTTATGCCAAATACAACTGTTCTTTTCTCTGTAACGTCACCATCAACATTTTTTGTCTTCTGAAATAAATAAATCCCAATGTTTGAAGGATTCATCCTCAGCCAGTAAGTGTACACGTGTGTGTGTGTGTGTGTTGTACCTGCTCGGCGAGGGAGGCGTGTGCATTGTGCCAGAGTTGGTATTACTGGCGTGACTGGGGAGCTGGCTGCCAGATTGGTTCAACCCACTTCGACTTAACTGAGATGCTGCGCTGCTGTTCAAACCCCGCATGGGAAACCCCAACGAACCTACATCAAGAGAGAGAGAGTGAAAACATGTTTATTCTCAAAGCGAATTTCAGCTTCAGTCTGTTGTCTTTCTGATGTTTGTGTGACTGAAAAGACACACTTCCATTTTAACCAATGAAATGTTACGGCCTGTATCTTTTCCATGTGACCTGAAGCTTTTCTACATATGTGCTTAACGTGGATGTGTATTGGGATGTGTGCTCTGTCTAAGGGTTCAGGTAACACAAGGTGCACTAGGTGTGTAGCAAATATCGGTATCATTTTACAATATGATAAAAATAAAATATGCCACAATTGTTGATGTAATGATATCATACAGTTACACACAGCAACAACGAGCATGGCTGAAAGTGAAGGTAACAACAGTGGAGGAGTTGGTTCCAAAAAACAGAGCGACTTCAGGATGTGGAAGTGGTTTGGTTACAAAAGATCTGTGACAACAAAAGGGGGCAATGCAATAAACAAGTTTCACCACCTGGTGAGTACGAGGAGAGCTCGAGAGCAGCTGCTGTGAGCTCTTAACCAAGCAGACAAACTAATCTTTAGCAATTTATGACACAAATCCAGAAAGCTTCAAACAGCTGATTAGCAGCACTGCGGGACATGTGCGAAGAACGCTGCGGTCAGGTAGCAGCCTCACGGTCTCCTGATGACTACTACGCTTCGAACACGGTCCAACAGAACTACAGAGCTACACCTACATTAACAACGAATAGAAGCTGTGCAGCACCGGCCTTGAAACGCGCTACTTTCCCCCAAAGAACCAAAATATAGCAAATGGTTTGAGGGAGATTCTCTAGTCATTGCATCTCAAAGAGAAAGGGGTGATGACAACAGATGGTGCGTCAAACGTTATCGAAGCTAACAACCCTATACAATACCGTACAGGAAGTTCATTGGGATATTACGTTTAAACAGAGACATTTTAGAGGAGACACGCCACTCAATCACATCCTCAATACAACTGTATGGGGAAAGCCTGGCAAACGGCAAAGATGGCGGTTATCCCGCCCCTCCCGCTAGAAAGCCAATCGTCTGCTTTTACCAGCGAAAGCGGGAAACATTTCAGCCAATCATGTGGTGACGCATGCATAGTAGAAGTATAACCGGTTGGAAAAAAACGCTTTTTAAACCTTATTTTGGGGCAAAGTCGTCAAACTTTTTCGGCAATTTTTATCAGATTTTAGAGTGCGAAGATGGCGACCGAGTGGCAGGACTTGCCTAGAAGGACTTTGCTTTAAATGAGATTAAAAGACACAATAGCCCATCTATAATAAGGTAATTATAACTCAACATTAACACATCAAATCACTATAGTAATATTTTATTTTTATCTTTTCCAGGTGCACTAAACATACTGAAACATTTTAGAGCAAAGCTAATGTTGATCTTAAATGATTGATTTCTAACTTTCTAGCTTCATAACTTCACTCTCTCTCTCTCTCTCTCTCTTTCACTCCCTGCAGAGAGAAGCGTCGAGTACACTAAGGTTGACAGAGCAGCGAGAGTTTGCAGAAAGATTGTGAGTGCTTTTTACTTCCACAGTTGGAAGAGGCAGCGGGCACAAGACAAACCTAGACCTGGATCTCCCACCAGCTGGGGATGAAAGCTAAATATGATCTAGTGGCTGTTGGAACAAGACAAAGCCATCGCACAGGTCTTCGCTGCTGACAGGTCAGCAAGGCACCTAGTCCTGACGTGGCAAGACGTACAGGTTTTTGACCCAGTAAGCAAGAACCTCGGTCCTCTTCCACAGATCTGCTCCGTCTGCTGAGGACTATGTTACCGTCTCATGCTTAAAGCCTGTACTTCAGCTGTTTAACTGTGATGTACATTAAGTAAAGAAGACCTCACCAAGACAATAAAGAACTCGACACTGAAATACTTGAACAGCAAGAACCCGGGTCATTAAAGCCAGAGCAGAGTGGCACATCTGCCTCTGAAACACAAGAAGCTTAGTCAAGAGGGCAGCAACTAACAGGACTGGGTCATCTGAAAGAGAGCTAAACAGCCACTTACTGTGTCCACCATCAGACAGTGAGGGGGATCCTCACATGGTGAGAAGCTGCACGAGGATAATTTTCCTCCGGTCAGCCGAAAAAAGGACCAAAGGTCAGCACTGACGCCTGCTTCAGTGAATACGCTTGTGTTCTTGACAAAGAATCCGAGGCTGTGATGTTTGTGCATGCAAAGCCAGGTGGACGCCGACTTTTCTGCCTCCGACTGGCAGCTTTTCTGAACTGAAGTTAGCATAAGGTGCATGTTTTGCACATTATACCTCTTTTGACAGTTGATATTTACAATGAAAGTTTAAGATTTTACATTTATGTTTTTGTAATCCACTACTTACATTTATGCATCAGAAGATTCAAGGGATTTTCTTTTTGGATTTGGCAACTGTTGAGTGTAATGTGCACTTTAGATTTGTGGTTGGTTGTATTTTGTTGTACTATTTATATCTTGCACAGACTGAGTTACTGTTGTTTAGAAACTAAATAACTGAGATACATTTGTTTGTTTGTTTCTGCTGTATATTTAAAAGGCAAACTTTTACATTTATGCTGACATACAAAACTATAACACTTATCTTTAAATTAATAATCAAAGATTTTCATATCGTCAAGAATATCATTATCGCATATACACCCTGAAATCTTGTGATCTTATTTTAGGGCCATGTCACCATGGGCCCACCCCTACTCTGTGCACACACTCTGCTGGTGCAGTTACTGTTGTGCAATTCAAGTAAAATACTTACTGGGAAAATTAACACCGTTTCTTTACATTTGAACTAACATAAATTGTTTAAATTGAGCCAACTTTTCCATAAGCTTTATTTATACTTTCATGTAAAGGGATTATAGTCCATCTACAGCGACTACATGTGCTGGCTCTAAAACTGAGCTGTAGGCTGCAGCTGATATGTGCCTCCTCAAAAATGTGACTCCACATCAAGGCTAAAGCAGAGATAACACCTCCGCTCGTGTTTTCTCCTGCAAGTTTAGACTGTTGAGAGTGAAGACAACATGAAGTCAAGTTGGAGAGAGACTCTTCTGCTCTTCAGTAACAAAGACATGTCCACTGCAGACCTCCTGCTCATTATGATCAGTGCTTTCTATCCCAGTGAGTGAATAAATAAAAACACGTCTGCACATTCAGAAATAAGACGAGGCGAACCTTTTCACCATCGCTCTGCATCACAAAATAAATAAAATAATATAAACATACTTACTGTGTGGAATATAATCAAAGCACGGTACAGCCTGATCATGTATGATACATCCGTCTAGTGTCGCTGTGGTGATGTCAACGGGAGAAATCCGAACTATAAATCAAAACCTACATGTAAGCATCTACAGGGTGACTCCATTTAAGCCCTCACGTCGACCATGAGTTGAGATTTACAATTTGCATCCATGGGAAAAGTAATAAAATGACACATGTACACATTACCCCCCAAACTGGCTCCTGAAACTTAAAGTAGTAAAAGGTGAGTGTGTGTTATTCTTACTCTGCGGGCCATATAAGCTGGCTCCTAGCTGCGACAGCTGACCCGTCGAGGAAGCAGAAGACGACGCCAGCATCTGAAGACAAAAGAAACACAAACATCCATTACATTTTCCTGACAAAATCGTCTTTTGTTAAAAAGACCCCATCAACACAAGAGTATGGCTCTCCAGTCGGAGGAGATTAGGGCTGAACGATTAATCGTTCTCAAATCGAAATTGCGATTTGAAAGAACGCGATTAGCCAATCGTGAAGATGGCGATTTAAAAACACGTAGTGGTGGGTATCATTTTTAAATTTTCAATACTCATGTCAGTAAAGTACCTGAGTTTCCGTACAAACGCCAAATCCTTTTTTTTCTTTTCTTTTCTTTGAGAAATATAAAGAGGTTTTCCTACAAAACTGTTTTTCCATTTAAAAGAAAAGAGGTCAAACTTTGTAAAATATTAGATCTCGTCTAAAGTAGAAGAAAATGAACTTTGCTAAATTAAATGATTACGGAAAATCTTATATTCATATCAGGACTCATTTTGGTTGATACCATAAAGGCATTGAGGTATTGAAATCCAGCCCTAGAGCACACTCTTCCAGTGACATCAGTAAAGTTCACAAGAACTGGAAGAATAAGGGGAAAACATGATAGTGTCGAGAGAAACTTGCCTTCTTGCTTTGAAACACCTGCCTCCCGCAAGAAAAACAATTAAGCTGGTACTTTTTAGGTTTATATAATCCCTGCAGTTACAGTGTGAAGCAAAAATTACATTATGAAATAGTTACAGTCCAAAAAATTGTGATTTTTACTGTAAAAGCCCTGAAGAAGAGTTTAGGAGACAACTTACGTCTTTGTCAGCGCGGTGTGGAGGGAACATGGACTGTTGGGTGTAGTAGAGGCTGGAGTCGTCCGCGTAGTCGCTCTCTAGCCCTCCCTCCATAAACTTCTTCCGGTTAGCACCAAACATGCCGCGTGTCACCTGAGAAACCAGCCACAGGAAACGGTCAGACTGACTCGCAGGTTAACACTACAGCGAGGTGAATCAGCTCCTTCCTGTCACACCTGCAGCGTTTCATTAAAGACGTGATTGCATTTAGGCATGTGAACACTTTCATCAGGAGCAGCTGCTAAACTCTCAACTCACACGCTGTACCTATGTTGTAAACCCTACACACACACATATGTGAACTTTTACAGCTTTGTTCTTTTTGTCTTAGTTTCATGTTGTGTGTTAGCCAATCCCAAATGCTGCTGGATATCCTGCTCAGACAATCTGCCTTTCTTTGATGAAGTATTATTAAATTTGAAGGTGTGCACATCAGTGTCTTTGGGAGGTTACTCAAACCCTTATTGCACTTTGAATTAACTAAACATTTACAATTATTAGGGGTGGGAATCACCAGAGACCCCACGATACGATATTATCACGATACTTATGTCACAATATTATTGTGATTTTAAACATATTGCAATATTTGATCTTTTTCCCAACTTCAATTTGTGTCCCCGAAGCAAAACTCTTTTTCTAGTGGACTGAAAAAGCAATTTTATTAGTGCCAAAAAACAAACTTCTCATGTACAATTTATATAATAAAAGATCGATACTTGATGTTCGTGTTATGATACAATATTGCCTTGCAAAATACTGCGATACTATGCTGTATCGATTTATTCCCCCACCCCTAACAATTATGTTTGCAAATATAATTAAAATAGGTTAGAAATAATTTTAAGTTGTAGGTGGAGCTACAACTTCAGACTCAGGTCTTACCTGAACAGCAGTTGCCACAAATTAACCTGCACAATCAGACTCAAATGAACGAAAGGACAAATGCAGCACAACACAGGTTCATCACCCTGTTTAAACCATGGTGTGAAAGCATCCCCACATTCCTTCTCTGCATCACATCACAGAAACTTACCATAAATGTTTGCACAAGAATCTTTCAGCCTCACCAGATCTATCTCAGAGACGATACTGTGTGACCTGTGTCATTTCTTATTGAAACACATTTGAATCTGTACCAAACAAAGATGTATTGTAGAAAATTAAGTGTAGGCCAGTCCATCTCTGCAGCACCACTACAGTTAAAACAGTATTTTGACACACAGTTTGCCTTTAACAAATATTGCACCTCCTGAGATTTGATAAACTGATTAATTGTTCAGCCCTAACGTGAAATAACACTTGATGACAGCAGACACCTCAATATACAACGTCTTAAATAGGTTCTGTCATCATGCTGTCACCACAACATACTAGTGCTGAAACGATTAATAGTTGAATTGCTTAGTAGATCGACAGGAAATTAACCCACTACTTGCATGCATTGCATTTTCAAGCAAACAAACCCCAAATTATCTGGTTACATCTGGTCAATGTGGATATTTTCTGGTTTTGGTAGTCCTCAATGGTTTGTTTTTTGGTTCTGCCAGTTGGACAAAACAACAAATGTAAAAGTCCAAGTTTGGCTCTAGGAAGTTGACACCGTACGATTATGCATGCAGGACTTTAAAAAGTTATTTCCAGTCTAGCAAACAATGAAAATAATAGTTAAATTCAGCTCTTACACCAGAAAATATATTGTTGATGGTTGAAGACTTTGCTTTAGCACATATTCATAAAGGATCTTTATGCAGCTTTTGTTCATTTCAAATCTCTAAAGTGTTAAACAGCGATATAAGGGTGGCTACAACCCTAAAGTCACAGGTGGGTTCCTGGCAAGAGCAGGTGTGTGTGCATCAGTCTGCTATGGAGTACCTGAGCAAAGACTGAACACAAGTCAGTTTGAACATTAAACACCACTGCACAAGAATAAAGGAATGTCACAATATAAAAGACTACCTGACTTAAATTATGTTGAAAACCAGGCTGCTATAGTTGTCTGTAATCCCAGCAAAAAACAAGGTGATGTAAACATAGATCCACAGCAGTGTTTGAACAGTGATCTCTCAGGATTACTCTGGTTATTATAGGTTAGCCAGACACACAACATCCTTGTTAGCAGTAGCCCACGGTGTAGCAGCGATACCCCAGTGAACAACGGCTAATTGGGCGCTTACACGTTCATACTGTGTGAATAAAGTGTATATTATTGCTTGCAAATCCGTGTGTTTCATTTTAGAAAACCCCTAAACACTTTGCTACCTGTAAACACAGGACGACTGGTTTGCAAACTTGACTGTTCTTGTTTCAAAACAACGTTAAATGTGCAGCAGTGTCGCAAAACGCTTGCTAATGTAAAGCTAATGCTAGCTACGATAATTTGTCTGACTAATGTTAATCACACCGTTAAAAGCAGCCGCTGGTTTCTTGACAGCATAAAAATGGCCGGTTTATATATTATATATTATAAATAAAAAGCCATTAGCTGGTGTTACCTTGTTGGCTGTAATAATGTGTCAGGAGCTACTGCTAGCCGAGTAGCGCACGTAAGCTAACAGCTAATTCTATAGGAATGTATGGGGACGTTAGCGTGAGAGCTAACGCTAAGTACAGGCGAGCTAATCGGCTAACAGGAACTTAAAAACTCCACAACAGGGACAGTTGTAAGCAGTTCTAACACCTTACAGCAAACCGACAGCGCCGGTTTAAATGCAGATATGCAGACCTGCCGGTGGCAGAGAGGAGACCGCTGTGCAGGACTGTTTTGTTCTGGTTTGGGCCTGCTGCGCCTCCATCGGTTAGTTCCCCAAAACAACAACAAAAAGCAATGAAACCGGCCTGCTGGCTTCAAAGTGGCCTTTCCCGTTTCCCTTCACAGCCTGCTCAGGTGATGACCACCACACGAGCGGTGTTTCAGTTAGAGGAGGTTTGGGTAAGTCATGGCAGAGAAAGGAAATTAAAGGAATAAAAGAAGGATCTTACCGCATCAATCTTTCTTCCCCGCTACAATCCAAGATGGCCGGCATCTCTTCGCCAATCAACGAGGATGCTGGGATGCCTTTCTCCTCTGACCCCCGGGCCTCCATCACTCTACTCTACTCTACTCTACTCTACTCTGTCCATAATGTCCTGTTCTATATTATACTCTACTCTACTCCGTACCATAATGTACTGTTCTATATTATACTCTACTCTACTCTGTCTATAATGTCCTGTTCTATATTATACTCTACTCTACTCTACTCTACTCTACTCTGTCCCATAATGTACTGTTCTATATTATACTATACTATACTCCACTCTGTCCATAATGTCCTGTTCTATATTATACTATACTCTACTCTGTCTATAATGTACTGTTCTATATTATACTCTACTCTACTCTGTCCATAATGTCCTGTTCTATATTATACTATACTCTACTCTGTCTATAATGTACTGTTCTATATTATACTCTACTCTACTCTGTCCATAATGTACTGTTCTATATTATACTCTACTCTACTCTGTCTATAATGTCCTGTTCTATATTATACTCTACTCTACTCTACTCTACTCTGTCCATAATGTCCTGTTCTATATTATACTCTACTCTACTCCGTACCATAATGTACTGTTCTATATTATACTCTACTCTACTCTACTCTACTCTACTCTACTCTGTACCATAATGTACTGTACTGTTCCTGTCTGCTCTATTGTACTCTAATCTTTACCATAATGTTCTCTACTCCACTCTACTTTTCTCTCCTCTAATCTGTGTACTCAACTATACTTTTCTCAGTACTATATTATTCTCTACTCTACTCTAACCTGTAAAGTACTGTACTCCAATGTACTATATTCTACTTTAATCTGTCCTGTACTCTCTAATTTCTAAGGCTTCCATCACTCTACTTTACTCTAATCTTTTGCTCTCAACCTTTATCCAATCCAAACTTTACTGAGCTCTGAGCATCCATCACTCTACTCTGACCTCTAGTTACAGTACTCATCTCTACACAGTCGCTCTACTCAAAGCAAAGTGGGTGTCTTCCCCGGGGACCATTGTTTGGCTGATTCATCTGAAAGTTTGAACAAAATATGAACTAAATATAAGTTTTGTGTACCCTTGAAACCCTTAAAAGATTTCCCCTGGTCTTTATTACACCCAATTCATTAATTTAATTAAGTCCAGCTAAGCACTCATCTCCCTGTACTCCTCAAAATAGTGTAGTGTAGTCGTGCCAAAAATATGCTGTCCAGTCTTAAAGCAGGTGCATCAAGTAATTTCCAGGACTTAATATTTGAAGTAATGGCAATACATTTGAAGAGCATAAAAACAAGGTCACATTCATTTGGCTTCCTGCTCACATGGGCATTCTGGGTAATGAGAATGGTGGACAAACCTGTCATACAAGCTGTTATAAAAGTAAACACCCAAATTAAACTTTCAAATTTGTAGGGAAAGGGCAGCAACACTAAGATCCAGAGTTGACGGGCAAACATTTACATTCAGTTCAAAACAGAGTTGGTGTGGTCGTGAGAAATAGAGCAGGAAATAAAAAAGAGCAGGTAATAATGACTGAATTAAGAATATAAGACAAAGTAATCTGAACACTTCACACTTGTTGAACATTGTCAGGTACCAGAAACTGTTGTCATTTTTATTGTGGTACTTTTTAACTGTGGGAAATACTTGTCAGAGTGGATGGAGGAAATGAAAAGAAAAGGGCCAACTGGAGCAGGATTAAAGAGCGTTCTGGTGACTGATGGTGACACTGTAGGAGCTGATTTACTCCAGGAGATGGCAGTACTGCAACACTGAGGAGCAACACTGCTGTTAAACCTCAAAGATAAAGAAGAAAACATTCATTTGTACAGGACCATAGAAGGGTGAATGAGCAGAGCGGCATTTTCTGTGATATTGGCAGTGGTGAAAGAAATATTCAGATCGTTTACCTAAATATAAGTACTTATACCACACTGTGAACATACTGCACTACAAGTGAAAGCCATGTATTCAAAACCCTACTCAAGTAAACTTACTCATGTTGCAGTAACATGTTTCTCTTTTATATCTGCTGTTTCTGGATTAATATTCCTGCTGCATTAATGTGTTTGTTGCATTTTACTGCTGTCGATGTTTAAGGTTGAGCTCATTTTAACTCCTTTATATCCTGTTGGGTAGTTTAATCTGCAGCAATGCATCATGGTCTATAAGATCACCAAGCATCACTGTCCTGTGAAAACCACGTACGCCTGTTCAGCTTTGTGACAATGCGTTTTCCAGCTGATCCAAGGAGGTTTAAAGAGTTTATTCAGCTGGAGGAGGAGGATTTTCTCAGAACTTAAAGGAACTCTTCATCAATAAAGCTGCACAAAAAGTCAAGTATCTTGAATTTATACTTAAGTACTGTACTTGAGTAAACGCACTTAGTTAACACCACTGGATACTGGAGGGTTTTGATGAGCCTGTTAATGAAAATGGATCTACTGATTTTTGTGGCAATTATAAATTCTATGATTTAAAAGAAGAACTGGAAAGTACATTTACTGAAGTACTGTACTTATATATAATTTTGAGTTACTTGCACTTTACTTGAGTATTTTCAATTTGATGCCACCTCATACATACATTTATCTGACAGATTGAGTTACTTTACAGATTAAGGTGCATTTGGTGATGTTGTGGAATAAATCAACCAAAACAAGCAACGTCTGATCCAAGATGGGGCAGCAGATGGCCGCCTCAGGACTGCAAATGTTGTTGTTGTTGTTGTTGTCTGTTTATGCTTGTTCTGTGTATGAACAGGACTGGAGTAAAATTCCATATACTTGGCCTTTAAAGCTGATTCTGATTCAAAAGCATATAGAAAAATTTTAATTAGCTCCACCTCGACTATCTAATGCAGTAAAATCCTGTTTACGCATTCGTGTATCAGTAATAAAACATAATCCAATATTTAAAAGTCACATTTTCTGTTTTCCTACATTATGAGAAGATAACTTTTATGTTTAATACCAAAGTACTTTTTGCAAAAAGTGTACTTTCACTTGAGCAACATTTACATTTACTCATTTGGCAGACGCTTTTATCCAAACGCGACTTACATGCAAGAATCGCGACTTACATGCAAGAATCAACAAAGCATCGAATACAACACAAGATCTACGACATATTCAATGCAAGACTTTTACTTTAACAAATGGTAAAAAAACATTTTTTAGCGTGTTTGTTTTTGTTAACAATATGTTCCCCCCCAAAAGATACAAGCTATGTGGTTTTAATATACGGTTTAATCTGTCTTATATGAGTGCTGGGAATTTATTTTATTTATTTAACGTACTCAAGCACTGTATTTTTGGGTAATTTACTATTTCTGTCTTTTGTTACTACATACTTTTACTACAAACAGCTGTAGTTATTTCAGATTTTACAAACAATACTTAGAAACGGTTTATGAAATATGATGGAAAGTATCTCCATTAACTTACTAAGTACTTTTTTTAGGTGTTTTTTCTTTATTTGAGTATTTCATAGATGCTACTTTATACAGTACTTCTACTCTAATACATTTTAGAGGCAAATATGGTACTTTTTACTGCAAAATATAATGCATATTTATAGTTTAATAGATTGAGTTAAATTAAATTATTATTAATTATCCCTGGGGAACATTTACATGTGCACTAAAAAGCTCATTTGCACATTTGTTTTAATTATCCAGAAGAAATGGGTTTGTATTTTATATTTGTAATTATTTTGAGTGACTTTGTAGAAGTCTGTTTTCACCTTGAGGCCAAAAAAGTCACATTAAATCTGCTTTGTAAAACAGTAAAACATCAAAACTTCCAAGGGAAGTGAGTAGATCTACTTTTTCAGGTACTGTAAGTCAGTACAGGTTTAAAGGTGTACCACTATTAGGGCTGCAACTAACCATATCATTTTCACGATTTAACAGATTAGTTGTTTGGTCTGTAAAATGCCAGAAAATGGTGAAAAATGTCAATCAAAGCCAAAGATGACGTCTTCAAAGGTCTTGTTTTGTCCACAACCCAAAGATATTCAGTTTACTGTCACAGACGAGCAAAGAAAACAGAATATATTCACATTTCAGAAGCTTTCTTAACAAATGACAGAGCAATTAATTAATTAATTATAAAAACAGTTAATAATTGATGCAATAGTTGACGACTAATCAATTATCTAATAGTCGTTGCAGCTCTAACTGCAATGCTACACTTAATGTGCGAGAAGTGATTAAAAGCAGTTTCCAAATCAAACAGAGACAGTGATCTCACTCTGAACTGATTTTTATTTTATCTGTTTAATATAATATTCTCATAATAAGTATTTCAGATCTGAAGGTCAGTTTTATTTTGTAGTGGTCTGTGTTATTGGGTATCGGAGTTATGTTCAATAAACTGTACATGTCAGTCCTTTCATTTTTTCCCCAACCAGAAGGAAAGACTTGAACTATCTACAGCAAAAGAACCGTAAGTCTTTTTCATGTCCCGGTAATATCTGTTATTTTATGTGTGAAAGAAAAGTTACTCTGGAAAGAAAACCGTCTGTATGTGACAGACTTTAAGTGGCTCATTGTGTCATACATACATATCTGACTTCTGCTGCATGTGTAAATAGTTAGTTAACGTTTTATATTATTTATATTATGTATATTCTAAAACCACGTAGTCAGCGAAACAAATTCCTTGTAAGTATAAGATCCACTTGGCAATAAAGCTGATTCTGATGAAATCACTAAAAAGTGTAATTCATATTAATCAGAATCAGAATCATAAGGAGTTTTATTGCCAAGTAGTGTTTTACACATACGAGGAATTTGCTTTGGTGATGAGGTGCTACACGAAGACAAACAGTTGACATAAATAAATGTAGAAATATATAAATATGGAATAAACAATGCAAGTTATAAGAAAGTTAAAAAGAATAGAGAAAAATAATACAACTATTTGCAGAACATGTGCATTATTCTGGGTTTTTTTTGTTGTGCAGACGGATTGCAATGAAATATATAAATTGACAACATAAAAATATACAACAACGATTTAACAATTAACAACAAATGTGTGCAATATGCCGGTTTGTGCATGATATGAAATGAAATAATATTTACATGTGCAGAGACATTTTTTTTTTATTTTCAAAGGGGGGAGTGTCAGTAGGAGACCCGGGTCTTGTTAATGAGGCTGCAGACGGGAAGAAACTGTTTTTGTGGTGAGAGGTTTTGGTCCTGATGGACCGCAGCCTCCTGCCAGAGGGGAGAGTCTGAAACAGTTTGTGTCCGGGGTGGGAGGAGTCAGCTGCAATCTTTCCTGCTCACCTCAGAGTCCTGGAGGCGTACAGGTCCTGAAGAGAAGGAAGGTTGCAGCCAGTCACCTTCTCTGCAGAGCGAATGATGCGCTGCAGCCTGCCCTTGTCCCTGGCAGTGGCAGCAGCGTACCAGATGGTGATGGAGGAGGTGAGGATGGACTCAATGATGGCGGTGGCTGGGCCTTCTTGGTGAGAGAGGTGAGGTTCAGCTCCCACTTGAGGTCCTGGGAGATGATGGTGCCCAGGAAGGAGACCACAGTGGTGAACCGGTGCTGATGGTCCTGGAATCAGATACAATAATAACAAACAAAAAAACTTCAATAAAAAAACATGCACATCTTTGTAGATGCTGTTTCTGATGGAGTTGTAAACATTTTGTTTCTATTTTTTTACCTTTTCTTTCTATGATAATTTGTTTTATTTTTTTGAGTTTCTGTGATGTCTTATTTTGTAAATCGCAAAGACTGCCGGCGGAAGTTGCGTAATGTCGACAGAGTCTTTGCACATCGTTTCTGATTGGACGATCACACTAAACACTTCTTCTGACCAATGAACGAGCAGCTAGATGCCGCTAGTGGCTATATAAAGAGGATTCGGCTGAATCCCAACACTTCATATCTACTCGTTGAAATAAGCTGATCTAAGATGTCTGGAAGAGGAAAGACCGGTGCCGGCAAAGCCAGAGCGAAGGCAAAGACTCGCTCCTCCCGTGCTGGACTCCAGTTCCCCGTCGGTCGTGTCCACAGGCTCCTGAGGAAAGGCAACTATGCCCAGCGTGTCGGTGCTGGAGCCCCCGTGTACCTGGCGGCCGTGCTCGAGTACCTGACCGCTGAGATCCTGGAGCTGGCCGGAAACGCCGCCCGCGACAACAAGAAGACCAGGATCATCCCCCGTCACCTGCAGCTGGCCGTCCGCAACGACGAGGAGCTCAACAAGCTGCTCGGCGGAGTCACCATCGCTCAGGGCGGCGTGCTGCCCAACATCCAGGCGGTCCTGCTGCCCAAGAAGACCGAGAAGCCCGCCAAGGCAAAGTAAATGCCCCATCAAGCAAACACAACCAACGGCTCTTTTAAGAGCCACCCACTTACTCTCAGAACAAACTCCTGCAACACCACTTGCTAGAGACACGAAGTTTATAAGGTCAACTTACTGAAGTACTTCATCTGTGCTCATACTCACAAAAATACAAACTTCTTTATTGCACAACTCTATGATTTTATTCTATCATCTAAAATGATTGTGGGCCACAGATACTTCATCTGCCTCCTTATCAGGTTTTCACACATCAGTTTGATTTACTGTTACACAAACAGCACTTTACAGGAACATCAAAATAAATGCAAAGCTAGAAACAAAAAACCAAAACCCAATAAACAGGTAAACAACTACTTATAGAAAAAGCAACAAAGACCAACAATTAATCTAGAAAGAAGTTTCTGTAGCTACTTGGCTAAATACTAAGGAGATTCATCTGTCTGGTGTTTTACTACACACAACAACTATTCCTATAATCCTAATTCAGACCATCAGGATTATTTGAATTGGAGCTAATAACACTGTGAGGTCTGACAAACATCAGTAACATCAAATGTGTTTTTGGTCTTGGAGCATAACATGAAAGGTTTCCTTAGTTTAGATATTTTATAATTATTTATTATTTTATAAGTATTTATTTAATACATGTTGGCTTTTAATGAGGCCAGATGACAAGAAGAACAAACTGGTTGTTATTAAGCTGAATTATTGTCATTATGATTTCTCACACAGCAGTTACGTGTAAGGTCAATGTCAGCGAAACACGAGGGTTAATGGTCAGCTGATCCAAAGCCATTTGAACCAGTTGAGTAGTTTAAACTGGGTGCAGCCACAGTTACAATTAGAAATTTTAGCTTTAACTGTGTGAAAAAAGGTTAATGTGACTTATTAAAAGGGCATCGACAATGCTGAGCGCTCACGCTCCTTTGTCTTTCCTTCTTTGGTTATTCTGCAGCAGTGGAAGGAAATGAGGCCTTAAAAGTGGATGTAAAAACAAATTTATACAGTAAACACTTTGGAACAGCCTGTTTTGTCCTATATTATATATCTTATATAATCCTATAATATTTATGAAGGAAGGCAAAGCAGTCGATCCTACAATAAAAAACATTAATGAACGATTCTACTTTGTTTTCATTGTTAATTTTATATCTGAAAATGTCTGTTTTGGTAACATAAACATTGTTTTTAACTTAACTCAACAGTTTGCTGTTTACTTTTGTGCCATTTAAGATTTTTCACTGTTTAGATTTCAATAAAAACTAGGAAAATCCCTGTGATTTAAAACTTTTGACCGGTACTGCACTCAAGCACCTTAAACTTTCCCTCTTCTGCATATTTATTTACACATGAATGCATTCATTTATGAAACATCAGTTTTATGTAAAAGTATGTCCACTTTGATATCACATCTCAAAACTTTTATTTATTTCCACTATGTCTTACTATTTTAACTCAGCATGAATAAAGTCTGAGTAGTGTGTTTCGAGCTACAGCACAATTATTTTTACACATATAGTTCACTTTTGC